TATAGACACTGACTAAAACTTATGCTATTGGTTATAAGGTCCCTGCTTGTAATCTGTAACTATGCAAATAAATGCTGATAAGAGTGTGTAAGGATTGGCTTCAGTTCAAACCATTACTCTGTGGCTTTCTGCAAGATAACACGATGAACACCACAATAGGAATGTAATTCCCTCTCAGAACATAGACATCATTTTATTGATGAGCTGACACATAAAGGCACAAGTCCAACATCGCTGATAATTTACAAGCAGAAATAAGGCATATTAATGAAAAGAATAGCAAAATAATATCCTAAACACAACTTACATGTCTGTTCAGGTTTATCAGAAATTTTTTGTTTTGGATGGCTCTGTTTTCAGACTTAAATGCTCGATCTTAAATTTGAAATGCGCTAATTTTGCGAAAAATTTGTGAACCTCTGAAGAGTTTTTCAGATTCTGCATTGGTTTAACCAGTGGTCCTTGAAAGGACAGCTGAAGGCTCCTGAAGAAACTGGCAGATCAGTTTTTATTCAACTTACATTAAAAGAAGCCAGGGGACCAGGAATGCTTCACCTGACTGAATGTTCATTCTGTATGCTGCAGCCAGTCAAGTCATTTACCTGCAACATAGACACGCCTGTGGGCCTGCTGTGTGTACAAGTGGAGCAACATTTGAAAGTCCTGAACTACTGAGCTGCATGATGTTGCCCAATTGGCATCATAGTTTGCTAAACATATTCCAATGAGGCCTCATGATCTTAAAAGTGTCACCTTTTGTAATGTGGAAATACAGCATATTAATGGTATTTATTCTACAGTGATCCAATTTTCATTCAATAATAATGTTTTTTTTATTCATTCATTGTACGATGGCATCACTGGCTGGCCCAACATTTATTGCACATCCCTAGTTAACCTGGGAAGGTGCTAGTCAGCTGCCTTTTGAACCTCAGCACTCCATTTTCTGTAGGCTGATCCACAATGCCATTAGGGATGGAGTTCCAGGATTTAACTCAGCAAAACTGACAGAATGGCCATGTGTTTCCAAGTCTGGATGCTGAGTGGCTTGGAGGGAACCTGCAGGTGGTTTCCATGTATCTGCTGCCCTTGACCTTCTAGATAATAGTAGTAATAGATTTGGGGATGCTGTCTTCGGAACCTTGGTTAATTTCTGTAGTGCATCTTGTGCACACTGCTGCCACTGAGTGTTGATGGTGCAGAGACTGAATGTTTATGGTTGTGTTGCCAATCAAGCGGGCTGCTTTATCCTAGACGATGTCAAGATTCTTGAATGTTGTTGGATTTGCATTCATCCAGGCAAGTGGAAAGTATTCTATCCCATACCTGATTTGTGTCTTGTAGATGGTGGACAGGCTTTGGCAAGTCAGGAGGTGAGATACTCACTGCAAGGTGTCTCTTCTCTGATCTGCTCCTTGTCCTCCTTTTAAAGTCTCCCTAATTGCTGTAACTTCCTCTAAACCTGGAGGAAGTACTGAGGGTGGCTGGGGTCTAGAATTTACTCTAGATGGGGAGGACTGCAATGTCCACCATCAACAACACCATTATTTACTCAGTTAGTCTGTTCCTAAAAGACATATCTGTTAAACTGGGTCTGCAGCAGATGGTAAGGGAACCGGCAAGAGGGAAAAACATACTTGAACTTATCCTCACCAAACTGCCAGTCACAGATGCATCTGTCCATGATAATAATGGTAGGAGTGACCATCGCTCAATCTTTGTAGAGATAAAGTCTCATATCTACAACTGACTCTACAACATGTGATAGACTTTGAACAAATCCAGCAACTCAAGTCAGGGCGTGAGGCGCTGTGGGCCATCCGCAGCAGAATCATAACACAATCTGCAACCTCATCTGCAAAAGATATGGCTGAAGATTTTGCAACAATCTTCAACCAGAAGTGCCAAGTGGATGATTTATCTTGTTCTCTTCCAGAGGTCCCTAGCAACACAGATGTCAGTCCTCAGCCAATTTGATTCACTCCATGTGATATCAGAATATGGTTGGACGCACTGGTTACTTTGCACTTGGAGGAAAAGACCATGGGCCCTGACAACATTCCAGCTATGGTACAGAAGGGCTATGCTTGAGAACTTGCCATGCCTCTAGCCAAGCTGTTCCAGAACAGCTACAACACTGGTGTCTACCTAGCAAAATGGAAAATTGCGCAGGTGTGTACTGTACAGAAAAACAGTACAAATCCAACCCACCCAATTACTGCCCCATCAGTCTACTCTTGATCATCAGTGAAGTGATAAAAAATGTCATCGCTAGTGCTCTCAAGCTGCACCTATTCAGCAATAACTTGCTCAGTGATGCCTATTTTGGGGTTCCACCAGGGCCACTCAGCTCCTATCCTCATTATAGCCTTGGTTCAAACTTGGACAAAAGAGCTGAATGCCAGAGGTGAGGTGAGAGTGGCATGGTGGCTTAGTGGTTAGCACTGTTGCCTCACAGCGCCAGGGACCCGAGTTTGATTCCACCCTAGGGCAACTGTCTGTGTGGGGTTTGCACATTCTCCCTGTGTCTGCGTGGATTTCCTCCAGGTGCTCTGGTTTCCTCCCACAGTCCAAAGATGTGCAGGCTAGGTGGATTGGCCATGCTAAATTGCCCGTAGTGTTCAGGGATGTGTAGATTAGGTGGGTTATAGGGGGATGGGTCTGGGTGGAATGCTGTAGGGGTTGGTGTGGACTTGTTGGGCCAAAGGGCCTGTTTCCACACTGTAGGGATTCTATGATTAAGGCTGCATTTGTCCGAGTATAGCAGATGGCATCCGGCGGCGGCAAGTGGGCCCAGCAGCACAGACTGGGAATGGTGGCGTCGGAGGCAAGTTTGCATTCCTGGTGGCATCTGCATCTGGTGCAGATTCGTGGAGGTGGCGGTCGAGGTGGATTTGGGCCCCGTATGAGACCAGGTGGCATCAGCAGCGGCTGTATCAGTGAGGTGGGCCTAAAGTGGACTTATGGCAGCGGCGGAGTCAAGTTTTGGCTGGTGTGGTACTTGGCAGCATCGGTGGCATCTGTATTGGCAAGTTCCATCAAGGACTCATAGTGATTAGGGTGTTGATGGAGGTGAGTTGGCGCTGAAGAGTGGTGACTTCCATTCCAACAGCTCGGCAAAGGAGACTCATGGCCCATGGTGGAGCACTTAACAAGAAAGACCATAACGTTGAACACTTTTTTCTTTATTTCTTCAATTTTCTGCCTTTATATTCTATGTTTTGGTTTATTTTTCTGTGTTTTAAGATGGTGCTGGAGAGTAGCACTACTATACAGCACTTTTCACTGTATCTTGTAACAAAATAAAAGTGACAATGAATGAATCAAATCAAATCAAATCAAGGAGCCCCAACAAAACTGGAATCAATGGGAATCGAGAAAAACTCTCCATTGGTTGCAGTCATACACATTACGAAGGAAGATGGTTGTGGTTGTAGGAGGTCAGTTATCTCAGTTCCAGGACATCTCTGCAGGAATTTTTAAAAGTAGTGTCCTCTGTCCAACCAGCTGCTTAATCAATGACTTTCTGTCCATAGGAACAGGAATTAGGAGCGGGAAGAAGCATTTCAGCCCTTCGAGCCCGCTCTGCCATTCAACATGATCATGGCTGATCTTATCCTGGTCTGTCAGAATTGAGGGTGTTTGCTGATGATTATTAACACTTCAGACCTGACACTCAGTAGCAGCAGTGTACCATTTATAAGATGAACTGCAGAAATTCACTAAGGCTCCTCCCAAACCAATGACCACTATCATCTAGCAGGACAAACTGCAGCAGATACTTGGGAACATAGGTTTCCCTCCCAGCTATTTGGAAATATATCTCTGGTCCTTCACTGTCACTGCATCAACATCCTGAAACTCTGTCCCGAATGGGATTTTGGGTGTACCTACACCAAATGGACTGAGGACAACTAGAGGTCAGCATGGCCAGTGATACCCACATCCCATAAATTATTTTTGAAAAAAAGTTAATCTGGACTTCATAAGGAAGATTTGAACATCCCTACCCCTTTCCACACTGATCCCTGTATCTGAGTGCCAGTAGGCATCATGTTTACCAGTCAGCTGCTAATTGCTGACAATTTTAGAATTAAAATCTTCTAGCCCTCATGTTATTGATGTCAGGACAGTATGTTGCCGACTGTCTAATCTTGCACAAGTCTCACTTCAAATTAATATCAAGTCTAGTGAGTTTGAAACTCAGCGTTAGCTCACACAAATCTATGTTGCATTCAGTTTGGTTCAGGTGAGAAAGTATTTTGGGAAGATAATGATACTATTGTGGAACTTTTGGTGAACCAAAAATTGAAGTCAATCTTCCTTATGTTTATCTGACTGATTCGTGACTTGATGGGCATGCAATATGACAGCACAGAGTTAGTTATGAAACTGATAGAAGTGTGGGTGAAATTAAACTGTCTGTGAAGCTGGCTGTGACAAAAGATGTTGTTATCAAGTGGCTGTACAGATGAGGAAGAGAAAAGGGCTTACAACAAATCTTTGATGAACTGTGGAACCATGAATATAGAAGCCGTTGCTGGAATTTCATTGGTTACATTGGGACAGGTAGGAGTGAAACAATGGAGGCCAGGGGAGATAGTGGAGGAAGACAGCATGATTAACTATATTCAATGCTGCAAAGAGGTGAAGAAGTAATAAATCAGTGCAATCCAGAAGGATATTTGTGTTTTGTAGTTTTTATATAATAAAATCTGAACAACATCTGAAGGGTCTAGGCCTGAAACGTCAGCCTTCCTGCTCCTATGATGCTGCTTGGCCTGCTGTGTTCATCCAGCACTACACCTTGTTATTTTAGAGATTTCAGCTGCTTACTTCAGCTCTTTCACTGCCATACCTGGAGGCAGGGCCTGTTTAAATTTTTGAACCTTTTCTTTGTCCATGATAACTAATGTATGTAGGCACCTACTTCACCGTATTTTGAATTTTAAATTGTCCATCTTCTTAATTTTTACAGATTTTGCATCTTTTCTTCTCACATGCTCTCTTTGGCAACACATATTCTAAAATTGAAACAATACAGAGAAGATTTGCATGGCCTCTGCACAAGGATGACACACAAATTTATGAGTATTTATCCTTTTTCTCACTCAACAGCAGTGATTCAGAGTGTGGTTCATCCTAATGCTGCCTGACGCGAGGCCATCATGCCTCAAATGATTGCAGAAATCAAAGATTCATGCTAACAGCAAGAAGAAAAGGTAAAGAATCTGTGAAAATTAGGAAGCATATTTTTGGTGGCTTTGATCAATGTAATCTCAATTTGTGGATAGGATGGTGTCATATGAGAGAGTGTATTGGAAGTTGAAGATGTATTCAAGGTATTTGAACACAAGGGTGAAGTCAATTGTTGTCAGACATGATGAAGACCAATTTTCAGGATTATAGTATGAAAGTTAGGGTAGCAAAGTAAATTGGACAGCTTGTTCAAAGAGTCAACATAGGCATAACTGGTTAACCAGTCTTCTTCTGTGCTGTATGATTCGATGCAGCTTTATGTTGTAGAAGAAGGAGTAGCGGAGTTTTGCAGCAACAGGTGATGAAGATCAAGCCCTGTACGCTTCATGCCAACTTGTGTTCTGTGCAATCTCTTGAGCGTTTATAGCACCTGTGCCAAATTAATGATAATTTATGCCAACCCCATCCCCAACCCACCCTTTTCCCTTACACCTACTATGCCAAGCTACCCAGCATCAATTATGGAAGACCTCAGGACTCACACTGAGATTAAATAGTATAAGACTCTACATGTTGATTTTAGACTTCGCTCTTTTGAAATAAACACTTTCATTCAAGCCCATTTGGTACATTTACATTCCTTCCTTATTAGGCCATATTTTTTAAAGAGTGACAATTTAATGCAGCTAAAGACTGCAGCATTTCTGACAGCAGATTCCAAAGAAGACACAGTTAATGAGCCAGAAACATATTCACATTCTGACAGGTGCTTTATAATGTAGAACATTTAGGGTAGGCAAACCATGCTCCCCTTATCACATTAGTTAGTGCTGTATTTTGTAATTTAAAGTCCAGAATCAAAGACAGTCACTTTGACAGGTTCTGTGAAAGGTTAAGTGCACATGGTTAGCATTCCAAGAGAGTAGAGTGCTGGTGGGTGATGGGTTGGGTACCAAGTAAGTTGGATGCCAGGAGTGTAGGATGCGAAATAGGTATAGCGTCTGTGCCAGGTGGGTAGAGTGTCAGGTAAGAAGAGTTTCCAAGGCAGGTAATTGAAGGAGTGTTTAAGGTAGATTGAGATGGGTAGGAGATACTGGATCCTGTGGAAGGGTTTACGGAGGTGGGGGGAATGCAAATGAAATTGGGTTGTCAGGTTCTGGAGGTGGGGGCATAGGGGTCAGGCCCAATGCCAGAACAAAGCAGTTGGGTCTTGCAGTTTGGGGGAGTAGTGTGGTTGTTGTGTAGCAGAGTGGGAAATTGTGATGTCAGATTTGGCAGTGAAGGTGGGGAGATGAGTCCTGGTGGTGGAGTGGGGTGTCAGTCTGAAGACAGTGGGTTTTGGATCCCAAATGTGGCAAAAGATGACATGACTGGGGCGGAGGGGGAATCAGTGTGTAAGATATCTGGCAGAAGTAAAATTGTGCGTGTGTGTGTGTGTGGGGAGGTAAGTCGAGGATCAGTTGACATTGCCTACTGGAATCTTCAATTTCCCAGGCAATTCCTTCAGAGTCCGCTGCAATGTGATTTTGCAGGCTCCCTTGTGCAATTCCCAGCTATACTTCAAAAACAATTATCTGGCCATCAAAAATTTACTTCAAGTGACTGGTCATTTTTAATTATAAATGTTGGAATTCGTCATTGTCCCACTTAAAAGAATCTAACTACTTGTTGCTGTTGTTCAAAGTGAAATGGCAGGCACCCTACTGTGATAATAAATGTTGTGAAATCAGAGATGCAGCACTAATTCAGTAATGAAAACTCTCTTGATGTATGTCAGAGAAGAGAATGAAATGATTGTTTTTAATACACCAGAGTTTTTTTCAAAGATTTAAAAGGTGGGATTTTCAAAAGCGATAACAACTTGAGAGATCTCTTTTACATGAACATTTGACAATTCCTCGATGCTTCTGACAATTCCCCTTGACAGGCTCTTTTGTCACTTGGTTGAGACAGGTCTGCTGAAAGTTCCAATGAGCTTGACAGTTAATGAGTCTATGCGCTTTGTACACACATGCATAACCACTTTTAACAATACCGAATGAGTAACTTACTTATCTAAAGCATATCTGATTCTCAAAGTGATTCCAAAAACTTTGGACCTGATCCTACCAGACCTAATTGATGTATTTCCTGTTCCAGGCACCCAGGCCAAAATCATAAAAGATTAGAGGCAGCTGCTGATTTATAGACGCAACAGACTGAAAAATTGGCATGTGTGAAAGACAGCCTTCCCACATTCCTACCTCTATGAAAATTGAAAACCAAATCTCTGAGTTTTGGCCATGTCCACCATTTTCACCATGACAGAGAGCCTTTCTGACTTCTCAAAAATCCAGGTATTAGAGTCAATTATATCATTATGTTTAGTTAATGTAACTTTTGGAGAGGCATCCAATCACTGACATTGTTCTACATGGTCTTCCCTATCTTCCTGAAAATAGAGGACTGAACAAATAACAGTTTTATTAGGTTTAAAGAATCCAGCTCCTTCATACCATTTTTAAAGAGCATATTGTGCTTTTACCTTAAAAATAGTGTTAGTGTGCGCAAAAGAAGCATCTGTGGGAAATAATCTGAGAAGGCAGATTACGTGTAATGTGGATTTGACACGAATACTACTAATTTGGCACTCAACATTCCAGCTATTGCTGTCTCTTAAGCACACACACATAGACATGAGTTCAACAGCAGGAAGAATACCTCAGCAATGCTACCAAAGGTAATAATGATAGTACACCCAGAAGTACTCTAACTCCAAGGATTTTGCACAAGACAGTATGACAAGGAGAATGAACAGAGGGACATAGAGCAGGACAAATTGCTGGAAAAGTGAGTGGAAACTTTCATTCTATAAAAACTTTCACATACCAAGATCTACTTCTGGCCACGTAGACTGGTGTTAAGCAATTCAAACTCACTTTAACTGGCTGCTTACCTCATATAAGCATCATCCACCTCTTGAGGTGTATTGACACTCAGCTGAACATTTAATGCTGGCTTAATTTAGCAATTAATATCAAGGTGAATTTTGGGAACAATTATGTTTAGTTTGTGATAAACTTACATATCCTAGAAACAGGTAGGATTTGAGTTTTAGCCTCCATCATGATTGGGAAGAGAGCAGGGCCAGCATGGAATTTCATGCTGGAAAAGTTTAGTGGGTCTGGCAGCATCTGCAAAGAAAAGTTAGAATTAAGGATCAGGTCCCCTGACCCTTCCTCTGAGGAAGGGTTACCGGATTTGATACGTTTACTCTGATTTTTCTTTACAGATGATGCCAGACCTGCTGAGCTTTTCCAGCAACTTCTGTTTTTGTTCCTGATTTACAGCATCCACAATTCTTTCAGTTTTTATGGAATTTCATGCCGCAGGTTTGCATGTTGATTACTTGATTTCATCCTGCACCCAAGTCATTTTCCTGGAGGCAGGATTGGGGTGTAGCAGGGTTGCCAACCCAGAAGCGACAGGAAGCTTACTAAACCATTCAAGGCCCTATTCTGGATTGTTAACAGAGTACAACTGGGATTTTCCAGTTGCCCTTCAGATCCCTGCAGGTGGCAGGAGACGTTCAGCTGTCTGAAGATAACTTCCATGAGGCAGACTGGGTGCAGGGGGAGAAGTGATAGAATGGAACAAATCTCCAGGGAGCCTTTGAAGTTCTTTCCATCTACTTGGGTTCAGCAGTCACTGCAGGAGACCCTGTGGAGGGGACTCCTCTCTCTATCACCTCTGCCCACCCCCTCAGTGATGGTCCGGCTGCAAAGAGCCATTTCCTATTTCAAAGGTGAATAGTTAGAGGACCCCTTGAAGTGAACCCTTGAAGACTCCATTTGAAGTGCTGCCTCTTGCTCACACTAACCTGCAAAAGCCTCTATTGGTCTCCAATTTCAGGAGCCTTCCTACCGCCTTTAGTTAGATGGCAAGCCGTGGCTAATTGGCCTAATCAGGGAAAATTACAATGAGTGACTGTTTCCCACATCATGTGGGCTTCTGAACCCCATTACAGCCTGACAGTAGGGTTCAGGAGCCCACTGGGAAAATCACAACATATGTACAGCAAACTATTAACCATATTAATTTTCAGGAATGTTGTGCATTTTGTCTTGGCATAAGGAATCTCCTGCCAATTAAATCAGAAACCAATGACTTATTGTTCCTGTAATTATATGTTGTAGTTAATCATGGCTGACAATTAACTTCTTGCCCTTCCTGAATTAAAAGTCACAGTTTAAGTCAACAAGATTTTATAACAAGGTATCCTAAGGAGGATAATGGGTTAATAGAAAATGAGATGAAATGCCAGCTTTCTAAATGTTACAAATCTAAGTATAAGTATTTTGGAAAACTAAACCTTCAGGAAGTTCAGTTCTGCTGTGAATGTATTTGAATATATTCTCATGTGTTTCAACATGCTTTCATTACAAATGTGTATAGCACCAGCTCAGAATGGTTTATACTGTACTTCAGAAAAATGTCACTTTGTGACAGATATTTTCCTCTGTTTCACTTCCAACTAAAGAAAAACATATAGAAGTCTATACATAAGCAGCATTTTATCAAATCTCTGTTTTCATAAAGCATTTACTGGTTGATCTGGAGAACTGGAGGTGACACTTGAGCTTCCTGTGTGTGTACAGTCCTGTTGACAATTCTGTTTTCTTTGGAGAATGTCCAGGTCCTATGATAATTAAGGTACTATAAAGTTACAGAAACAAATTGCAGAGTGATTAATTTGTATAGTTGAACTGTGCATGGTTCATCAGTGTGAAAAAGAAACTACGACTTGGCAGACTGGAAACAAAATCTGATTTTATCCAACTTCAAATCTTATGAAGTTAATTCTTAAAAAAAACTTCTCAAAATGAAAGTTAAAGCATTATGAATTTCTCACTTCGCCTCCTTAGCAGA